CAGCATCATCATCGGCAGCATCAGCATCGTCCTCATCATCAGCATCGTCACCATCATAATCACCAGCATACTCATCGTCAGCATAATCAGCATCAGCGTCATCATCATCAACATCATCAGCATCATCATCATCATCAACATCATCACCATCAACATCATCACTATTATCATCATCATCCACGTCTTCAGCATCGCCATCATCATAAACAACAGCAATATCAGCATCACCATAATCAACATCATCATCAACATCATCAGCATCATCAGCATCAACACCATAATCGGCATCATCATCAGCATCATCATACTCATCATCATCAGCAGCATCATCCTCATGATCACCATCACCATCACCATCACCAGCATCAGCATCGTCATAATCAGCATCATCATATTCATCATAATCATCATCATCATCATCATCAACATCATCATCATCAGCATCATCGGCATCAGTATCATTACCAGTATCGTCAGTATCAACATAAGCATCATCATCATACTCGTCATCATCATCGATTGTCGATCCTCGATCCTCTTCATCTTCCTCATCCTGCTCCTTCTCCTCCTCCTCCTCCGGCTGTTCCTCCTCCTCCTGCTCCCCTTGGTCCCCCTGCTCTTCCTGCTCCTCCTCCTCCTCCTTCCTCCTCCTCCTTCTCCTCTTCCTCCTCCCCCTCCTCCTCCTCCTCCTCCTCCTGCTCCTCCGCCTCGTTCTCCGCTCCGCTGTTCCTGCGTCCTCTGTCCCTTGCCAGGCCCCCTCGTCCCGTCCTCTCCTCCTTCTCTCCTCTCCTACTCCTCTTCCCTCCTCCTCCTCCTCCTCCCTTCCTGCCTCCTTCCTGCTCCTCCTCCTCCTCCTCCTCCTCCCCTCCTCCTTTCGTTTTTTCTCGTCTCGTCCTCATATCCTCCCCCTGCTCCTATCCATCCCTTCCCCCTCCCCCCTCATCGAAACCACTGAGCTAGAGCGCACCCCACCCCCCGCTCCCCCGCCTCTCCTCCTCCATCTACTCCTGTCCCTTCATCCTCCCTCCTCCTCCTCCTCATCCTCCACCTCCTCCTTCCTCTCCCTCTCCTCCTCCTCATCACCCCTCCTTTTCTTCTCCTCCTCCTCCTCCTCCTCCTCCTCCTCCTCCTCCTCCTCCTCCTCCTCCTCCAGGATGGGCTCCAGACGGCCCCAGACGCCTGGGAGACGCCATGAGAGGACTCCGAAAGCACACTGGGGAAATCATAAGGTACCCACATCGCTGGGGTGCGCCTGACTCAGATTTCGAGGCGCATCCGGCGGCGGCGACGAGGGCCTCCCCAGAGGCCTGGAAAGGGGGAAAGGGGGGAAGGCAACGATATCCGTACCCTGTCCTCCTCTGACACTCAGCCCGTGTGAAATCACTTCTAGATTCTAGAAGAAGAAACAAAACGCCATAAACATAATATTTTGGCTCTCCGCGTGGATTTCTTGGATCTGCGCTGGGCCCCCCTCCCTGGCGAGCGGAGCGCGCCAGGGGCGGCGCCGGAAGCGCCGCCAGGGGGCCCCAGCGCGGATCCGAGAAATCCGCGCGGAGCGCCGAAAGTTTATGTTTGTGTGTGTTGTTGCCCTTCTTCGCCTCTCCTCCCGAAGGGCCCGCCGCTCTTTTCGTCCGCGTACAGCGCGTTCTTCACGGCGGTGAGCGTGGACGGCCCGCCCTGGTAGTACGCAGCGCGCAGCCGCTCGCCGTCGGCCTCGGCGCCCTCCCTGGGGCGGGGAGACGCGCAAGTGTGCACGGGCGCCGCTCCTGGCCAGGCCCATCCTGGGCCCAGGATTGGGTCGGGCATGTCCGCCTACAGGCGGATTCTGGACGAAGAAATAATGACACCTAAGAAAACCCAATCGGTGGATGATTGGAAAATTGATACGATGGATCCTGAGATCGAGTGTAAGGTCGATCGTGAGACCGAGAATGACATCGGTTCAATGAGATCGATAGTGAGGTCGAGCGCGAGATCGCTCATAGTGAGATCGCTTGTGAGATCGATCGTGAAATCGACTGTGAGACAGATGGTGAGATCGATAGAGAAAGGGGTAATGAGATCGATGGTGAGACCGATCGATAAGAAGATCGACCAAAACCCGGGAACCGGGGAACCTCGCCGCCCTCCGAAATCGGCCCGGAACCCGGGAACGGGAACCCAGGAACCCGGAACCGGGAACCCGGGAAACCCAGCATGCGACCAAAATCGGCGGGACACTTTCGCCAAATCCTTCAACCTCCGCGAGGACCCCTTCAGTGCAAGCACTGCGATTTGGGAAACACGCCCAGAACAGACCCAAGCAATGTTCAACAAATAAAAAGAAAAATCCTCCCCAGAGTTTTTGTTGACTATTTTTGAAGATTCCTCCTGTAGAGGGACATGCCCGACTTCATCCCAGCCAGGCCCATCCTGGGCCCAGGACCGGTGCCTCCACCCGCCTGGCTCGGCCAGGGATGCTGCTTGCAAGTTGCCGAAAGGGTGGGTCCTCATCTGTCTGGGCCCGTTGAGGGCGCTGCTCGACTGAGAGCCGCACCCCAGCGCAGGGCTGAACCGAAACGTTGTTGTTCGTTTTGTTTTCGTGTTGTGCTTCGCCTTGCTCTACCTGTTTCGCCAAAACGAACATCAAAACACAGCCCAAGTCCAGCAAAACAGCGTTCAGGTCCAGCGCTGCCCCAGAGCGTCCGTGACTCCCCCGCCGAAGCTGCCATCCTGTCGCTCGAGCAGCAGGCTCACGTGAGCGACGGAAAGAACAGGCTCTTGCGCCAGATGGCGCCGCGAACTTACGCCGCAGCTTATGCGGGCCGCCAGCGCTGCACGCCTCATTGGAGACAAAGGCGCTTACGCGCGACCTTTCGCGGGCAGCTTACGCGCCAACGTCGGCGCAATTTGAACCCTTGTCTTCGTCACTCATATGGACCGCGGCATACCATACCCTGGGCCCAGGGTGGGCGTGGCACGGCCAGGGATGCATGCCAGCGGCGAGCGAGGGGGGGGGGGAGTGAGAGGGAGAAGGCCTTCTCAAAGGCGGGCTCGCTTCCTTGAAGCCCTTTGCGTCTTTTGCCAGGCTCCCCGTGTCCTCGGGGCAGGCTTCGAACACCTCTCCGAAGGCCGAAAGGACTCCCGAGCCTTCTGGGAAGGCCCGCCCCTCCTCTCCTCCCCCCCTGAGCTCGCCGCCGACGCCGGACCGAGGCACACCAGACCCTCGGCCAAGGAGGGGCCAGGCGCCAGGAGCGCAGGAGAGCCCAGAATCGAATCGACAGGTCGGATCGGCGATCGAAAGCAATCGGATCGGCGGAAATCGGCAGCCAAGTCGGGAAACGTGGAATCGGCGGACAGCGGCAGGCCAGTAGGCCTCCATTGAAAAATCGGAGCTCAGATCGGAATCCAAAGTCAGATCGAGTCGGAATCGGAGGCCAGCGAAATCGAATCGAATCGCATCGAATCGGAGGAGTCGAAATGAGCCCTGCCTGGGCCCAGGAGGGGCCTGGGCAGGAGCGGTGCCAGTGAACACTTCTCGTCGCCTGGCCTGGAGGTCCGCCACGGGCCCGTGGCGGTCATGGTGCGGCCGATGCTCAGCCCCACGCCGAAGACACAGTTGACCCGGAAGAGGCCCCGATCGCTGGGGCCCTCCACCTCTCGGGTTTGGCGCATCGAACGACTCCTCCTCCTCCTCCTCCTCCTCCTCCTCCTCCTTCTCCTCCTCCTCGACATTCTACCCCTCCTCCCCCTCCTTTTCCTCCTCCTCCTCCAACGGGGGACAGCCAAAGGGGTTGTCACGGCAGAAACCGTCGCTTGACAACGGGGGGGAAAAAGAGGAGGAGGAGGAGGAAGAGGAGGAGGAGGAGGGAGGAGGAGGAGGAGGAGCCGTCGGCACGGGATTCAGCGGGATTTCGGACCAGGCCCAAGTCAGAATCTGACCCCCCTGAATATCGTTTAACCGATCTCCAGCGGCGTGGCCTGGGCCCCACGGGCCGATATACCGCCCTAGATGGGGATATGCAGTCCTTCCCTTCGGGTTTCGAGGGGTGTATCCCCAGCTGGGGGGGGGAAATTGGTGGGGCTCACGAAGGGGACGGGGATGGGGGTCGGATAACTCAACGATACTCACCCTGGGCGCCGAGACAGGGACCGAAGCAGTCGAGGACCTCGACCCCTCCGGACCTCTCGGCTGCACGCAGGGAGCGGAACCCCGGGCCAGCGTGCCCTCCCCTGGTGCGCGGCTGCAGCCGACCGTTGCCCACGTGGCGCGGCTCCCTGGCGCCCGCCCAAAGGCCGCGCACCAAAGCAGGGCTGAACCTGAACGGTGTTTTTCGTCTTCGTTTTGTTTTCGTTGTCCCTCGCTGTTGTCTCGGATCCGCCTTTACCGCACAACGAAATCGAAGCGAAAGCGGCCCACGAAATCGCCAAAAACACCGTTTAGGTCCAGCCCTGCACTAAAGGGTCGCCTCAGCAGACAGACACTCGTAGCCGGACCCAAAGGCCTCCATCCGACGCAGCGTTTTTGGTCGCAGCCTGGCCCCGAAAGGAGAGGTCTGGACCTCTTCCCTGGGGACTGGCCTCGCATCCCGAGTCGTTGTTTGAGCGTCCTGGTCTCCTGGAGGCCAAACGTTGCCAAACAGCTTCCGCGGCGATGCTCGCGAGGAGGCCGAGCCGTCGGGCCCTGGGCCTCCGAGAGCCGACGCCGCCGTCCGAAGACCTCAGCCTTGGACGAAGGCCACGACGCGGGGAGACCCTCAGGCCCGACAGAACATCCTGTCGTGCTGGGCCCTCTGGCAGGAAGCGGGTCAAGCTAGGGCTCCCAACTTCGCGCTTCGCGCTCCGCGAAGCGCGAATAACTTCGCGCTCTCGCGCCGCCCCCCCAAAGGGAGAAGAGGAGGACGAGGAGGAGGGGGAGAAGGAACGAGGACCGCGAAGCGCGAAGCGCGAATAACTTCGCGCCCTCGGGGGAGCCCTTGGAACATCCTGTCGTGCTGGGCCCTCTGGCAGGAAGCGGGTCAAGGACCCTGGAGCCTTCCCGAGGGAGCAACAACAACCATCCTCACAGTAAGCACCCCCCGACGGCCAAGGGCATGTCGCAAACGCACCCCAAACATGGAATCGAAGAGGGCAGGGCAATTCGGTAAACGCCCAGGGCCGCCCAGGGGGTCGGGGTGCCTGTCCCCCCCTTGATTCCCCACGAGATCCTCATCCCGAGTCGTTCTCTGCTGGTCCCGGGGGCCCCGGAGGGCCCCCGGGGGCTCGACATTGGAGAAAAGCCTGAGGCCTCTGTGGTGAAAACCAAAGGGTACTGCTACCGCTACTCCACGGACCTCTCCTAGGGTGCGTTCTGATGAACATGTCGAGGCGAATCCAGCGGTGGCGACGAGGGCCTCCCAGGAGGCCCCAGCGGGGGAGAACGAGAGAACGACAGCAGTCTGGGCGCTCTTCCTCCTAGGACCGCGGCCCCACGGCGAAGGATCGCGCGCCGCGGTGGCACGGCCTCCGAGACAGCCGACGACGCACGCTCCAGAGCCACGTCGCATGACCTGACCTCTCGACATCGTAGACTACGAAAAGAATGCGAGCCCAGCGGATCGATCTACTCGAGGAAAGAGCATCGGGCCAGCTCGACGCGCACCCCCGCCGAAAGCCTCGGACGACCTCGACGCGCGAGGAGAAGGCCGCGGCGAGAGGAGCCCAGGCCGCGCGACCCCCGCCCCGCTTGCGGGTTGGCCCAGCCACGCCTCCACGTCCCGCTGCCGCTTCTCGCTCCTGTCCCGTCTCCTTCGGGAGCGCGCAAGACTCCCAGACCCCCCCTCGGGTCAGGAAGACAACATGGCAGAACAAGTTTCGTTGTGTTCGGCCTCGGGGGGCCCTTACCCGGCCTCGGGACCGTCCACAGAACGACTCAGGATGAGAAAACAGCCCCGGGAAGTGGGCTAAGAACTCTGGTGGCTGACGTTCTATATTTGTATATATATATATATGTATGTATATATATGCACATCTGTATATATTATATGAATAGACAAGTAACACACAACAACTGACGTCGGGGGTCGGGGTCTGTCTTCGGGCAAGACGTCGGCGACGTCGCCGACGCATCGGCGACGCCAGCGCAGAGAAAATCTGACTCCGCACCGAGCCGCTTCGGCGATGCAGCGACAGTGCGGCGCGATCCTCCGACCCCACCTGCTCGGAACCCATCTTGCGGGCAACGTTGTCACAGTGGGAGCTCGACCACAAGAAACATTCCACAAGAAACCTAACCCTGAAACCCCAAAATGTTCATTGATTTTTGCGTGGGAACGTCACGCTTTCCATAGCAAAACCATTGAAACCCAAGAAACCCAGGGCACCCTGGAGGCAAGTAGGGTATTTCTTGGCATGTGCTTCCACTGTACTGCGCCTCTGGTTTCTGGGGGAGGGAGCCCGAAACTCGAAGACGCAAGGGACCCACACCCCCGACGTCATCTCAGTAAGTTGCGCCTGCATAGAGAAAGCGGCAATCTCTTCGAATGAGAAACACGACAAACTCAGCAAACCCAGGCGAAACCAATCTTCGCCTTGATAAGAATGGGAAACTGAGAAAACACGAATCTGTCATCCACTGTGAGCATCATGTCACGGACCCCTTTATGACGAATTCCACTTGGATGCCCTGTCTAGCAGATTACAAGCAGGCATCTGCCTGGCCTGTCTGGCGGATTTCAAAAGGGATCTCTGTCGCGGGGAATTGCAACAGACCGTTCGGTGGCGGATCAAAACAAGGGTTCCTTTTGTGGAAGATTGCAGAACCTTTTTTTCTGCAGGGTTACATACACTCCGTCACAACAGCAATCCTTGTGTAATCCGCCGCAGAAGCAATCCTCTTGGAACCCGCCACAAGGAAAATCCTTTCGAAATGCGTCATACAACGATACCCGTTGAAACCGTTCGTAAAAAAACAATCTCGTGCAGTTCACCAGAGAACTGTTGCTTTTCACTGGAAAGGGAATCCCACTGGAATTCGCCACATCAAGGGTCCGATTGAATATTGACAATGTTTGAACAAGTGGGAGGCACTCGTTCACCTGAACGTTTTAGCGTGTTTCCCGCACGAACTGAGGAGTTGGACGAGGCGTACCGTGGCTGTCCTCGGCGAAGCGGCAGGAAAGATCTAGATGTACAGCAGTTGGTCGTGGCGGTTGGCTCCGTGATGCCAGATGGAATCTCTGAGGGATGAGAGGTACGCGCATTGGCTCGGCAGCCGGAGAGGAGGGGGAAGCGACAAGGAGAAGGCCTTCGCAGAGGGCTCGGAAGTTCTCCGGCCTTCCGAGACGTGTTCGGGGCCTTCCCCGAAGACGCAGAAAACCTCTCAGAAGGCCAGAACGCTTCGGAGAATAGAAGGACAGACATCCATTACCCCAGTGCGACCCTATCTAGAAGTTGGAGCCCCTAAGAAAGCAGTACTACGTGCTATGCTATGCTATGCCATGCCATGCTATGCTGCGCTATGCTATGCTATGCTATGCTATGCTTGGCTATGCTATGCTGCGCTATGCTATGGTATGCTAGGCTACGCTACGCTAAGCTATGCTATATCATGCTGCGCTGTGCTATGCTCAGCGATGCTATGCTATGCTATGCTATGCTAAGCTGCGCTATGTTATGCTATGCTATGGTATGCTATGCTATGGTATGCTGCGCTATGCTATGATATGCTATGCTATGCTTGGCTATGCCATGCTATGCTATTATGTGCTAGTGTAGCGCTGCGCTATGCTAAGCTAACTAAGCTAAGCTAAGCTAACCCTCTAGGCAGGACCTAGGTAGGGAATTACACCCATGCTATGCTGGGCAATGCTATGAAATGCTATGCTACGCTACGCTAAGCTATGCTATGTCATGCTGCGCTGTGCTACGCTAAGCGATGCTATGCTATGATATGCTATGCTGCGATATGCTATGCTGCGCTATGCTGTGCTATGCTGTGCTCTGCTATGCTAAAGCTCAGCGAAACTAAGACGAAGGTAAGCTAAGCAAAGATAAACCTGAGCTAATATGAAGCTAAGTAAGCTAAGCTAAGCTGAGATGAAATTAGCTAAGCTAAGATGAGATAAGCAACGCTAAACTAAGGGGACGTATCTGGGGGAACCGCGGGGCGGATGCGGGGGGAACCGCCCGGGGCGATTAGCACTGCCCGGCCCTTTAGCCCTTTAAGCACACAGGGTAAGAACCCTTCTAGACAGAGCCTAGGTAAGGAATAAGCATAAAACTTTTGGCGCTCCGCGCGGATTTCCTGGATCCGCGTCGGACACCCCTCCCTGGCGCCCGGAGCGCGCCAGGGATGGCGCCGGAGGCGCCGCCAGGAGGGCACCAAAAGTTCATGCTTATGGCGTGTTGTCTTCGGCGGGAGAAGCCCTGACGCCTTCTCAGAAAGCCCTCTCCTCTTCACTGCCCCCACCGCTCTCCGCCGACTGGAAGAGCCAGGGCGAACCTCCCAAATGCCGTTGGGACCCGCAATCCGTAGAGTTAGGTCGGGCATGTCCCCGCACAGGGGGATTTTGGGCGAAAAATTCAGAATACTCAAACAATACGCCAACAATGACCAAACATAGTAAGAAAATCGTCCCCTGACATTTTTCTGTTATTTGTGAATATTCCCCCTGTAGAAAGACAGGCCCGACTTAACCGTAGGGGCTTGAGTTCCGGCAGGGACTTCGAAAAGAGACCGGCCGTGGCGAAGGAAACTTCGTGGGCGCCCCTAAGATTTCACAAACCTCTGGCCACGAGCTTGGATCGGCGAAGCTCCTCTGGAGATCGACCGGCCACCAGCAACGATGAACCCCTCTACGCGCTGGCCACGAAGGGACACATGCATCTGCCGATACACGTGTATATATACACATACACACAGATACATAAGTACGTGCGTGTCTAGATGTACCCTATCTACTTCACGGGCTCGCCCGTCGCAAAGTAACCAGTGCGCCCTTCGGGTTTGCTTGGCATGTTTTCCTTGCTCCCCCTGTTCGTCGTCGTCGCCGTCGTCCTCTTCCTTCTCCTCCTCCTCCCCCTCCTCCTCCTCCTCCTCCTCCTCCTCCTCCTCCTCCTCCTTCCCTTGGTATTCCTTTGTAAGGCAGCTACTCATGGACAGTTTGGGAGCCCAGGAAAACATTACATTGTAGGGTCACCTTAAGACACATATATGTTGCGAAATAGCTAAGAAAACATCCGCCGGCCCCCATCGAGGGGCAACCAAGCTGCAGGGCGAAGGTTCGCTGTTTCCGATACCAGTTGCAGTTTCCAGTTTCCACCGTTACAAGTATGCTTATTGCTGCTTGCGGTTTCTTGTTGACCTGTTGTTGTTTACTGTTTTTTGTTGATGGACCGCGAGAGGGGTTGAGGCCCCAAACGGACATTTCTACCGCGCCCTGAGAACGTGCTACACCCTTCACGCGGATCGGCGGGGTCGGGGTCCAAAGACATATGGGATTTGCCACATTTATAAAAATTCGGTGGCACCCCTCACGCAAATCGGCGGGGACGGGGTCCAAAAACACATGGGATTTGCCACATTTGTAGCAAACTCGGTGGCACCCCCCACTCAAATCGGCAGGATCAGGGTCCAAAAACACAATGGATTTGCCACATGTTTGACACTCGGTGGCACCCCTCACGCAGATCGGCGGGGTCACGGTGCGAAAACATATAGTTGTTGTCGCATGTCTGAAACCCGGTGGCGCCCCTCACGCAGATCGGCGAGGTCAGGGTCCAAATGCACATGGGATTTGCTACATTTCTAAGCAATTCGGTGGAACCCCTCGCGCATATCGGCAGGGTCCGGGTCCGCAAACATAAAGGATTTGCCACATGTTTGACATTCGGCGGCACCCCTCACGCGGATCGGCAGGGTCAGGGTCCAAAAACACAATCGATTTGCCACGTGTCTGAAATCCGGCGGCACCCCTCGCGCCGATCCGTAGGGTCAGGGTCAACAAACATGGAGGAATTTGCTACGTGTCTGACATTCGGTGGCACCCGTGACGCGTCCGTAGGGTCACGGTTGAAAAACAAACACGTCCCGACGCTGCTTCACGGCGGCGCCCAGACCTCATGATTCAGCTTTTCGCATCTCCCGTGATCCGAGACAGGGGGCCGGCGGCGTGGGACGAAGCCCTTGCGGATATATCTCCGCTGCGTAATTTCGCAGAAACCGCTCGCTGGATTAGCGAAGTGGCACGCGGCGCGCGCGAAACGCAACTGCGCGCGCTCGCCCAGGGGCGATCCGCCCCAGACAACTCGAACGCCTCGCTTGCGAGTCGACGACGCAACCCCGCCGAATCTGCACATCTCCGACGCCGCGTCTGCGACGGCAGCGGCGGCGGCGATGCGGCGGGAGGCAGACAAGGGGGCAGAAGCAGCGGCGCAGCCACTGACAGGAGCGACGGCGCCGGGAAAACGACGACGGCGCCGATGAAACCCGCGCGCGGGGAGAAGGAGATGGGGCAGGCACGCGACGTCGCCCGGAGAATAACTCTGGGCGAAAAGGGGGCGCGGAGGACGGAAGGGGGGGCGACTGGAACTTGAACGGGGGCGGCGGCTAGAACAGACTCGATGGGGCCGCGGACAGCGGGCCCTTGAGGCGAGGGGGACTGGGATGTGAGGTGGAGGAAGATCAATGGAGGCGGGCCCGGGCCGCGCGAAACTACAGGCCGACTCGCCGCTGCAAAGGACCACGGGCCACCCGGCGCTCCTGCGATCCAAACTCTCATTTGGCTACTGTACCATCATCGAGCGAATGCCGATGGCAAAACGCCCCGCGCGCCCCCGCGCACCGACGACGTCAAGAGCACGCCGCCGCGGCCGGCGCGGCTGCCGCCGCTGCGACTTGCGAGTGAGCCAATAGGAACGCCCCCCAGACTGCCGCCGACGACGCGGGCCTCCCTCGCCCCTCCCCCCTTCCCCCCACCCCCATCCATCCCACCCCCCCCCCTTCCCCTCCGATCGCGCCCCCGCCCCCCCCTTCGCCCCCGCGCGCTCTTCATCCTGCCCGCCGCCCTCTCAAATTAAACCCCTTGTTCCCCCTGGCCGCCTGTGCCGCGACCCCCGCGGCGACCCCGATCCACGGCGCCGCTCGCGCCCAGCCCAGCCCGCGCCGATTGCGCAGGCGCCTCGGGCGGCAAGTTCGAGGGCCCCCAAAATTGCCACCAGATGGCCACCGCGACCCAGGTCGGCGAAAGATCACCCCCCGGGCTCCGCGCCAGACGCCCGCACAATCGCCGCGGGGCCTCGATCGGCGCGGCCCCCGGGCGGCCGCGATTTGTTTAGGTGCGTTCGAAGTGCCCCAATCGAAATACACAGAAAATTCAAACAACACAGGCCCCGCATTCGCAATCCCCGGGGAAATTTCGCGCGCCCAATTGGAAGATGAAAAAATTAGGCGGCCGAAATAAGCGAGGCGCCCACCGACTCCGCGCGCGCATTTGTCGCGCATTGTTTGTTTATTTGTTTGCATTTGTTGCTAAACAATATACAAACAATGCGTTAAAATTGAATGGCCGGGGAGGCGCCTATTGTTTCAGAAAAATGCGCAGTACATGCGCGAAGAAACAGGCCCGCCCCGATCTGTGAGCATGCAAAAACAATAGGCGCGAGTCGACTCGTTCCCCAGGGCGGCCGGCGGGGGCGAGGTGGAATAGCGTGACGCGCCCGGGAGGCCCGCGACGGAATGCGGCTGCCCCATGGGGCCGTGCCCCCCCCCTACCCTATGCGCCCTTGGGATGAGGGCCCGGGCGCCTCCCGGCAGCCAGGCGGGCGGGGGGCGGGCGGGGGCGCGGCGCCAGGCGAGGGGCGCGGCCGCGCGGCTCAGCAGCTGACGTCTGCGCCGCGCCACCCCCCGCGGCAACGTACCCAATAAAATTTCGCCGACGCGGGGCGGTGCCCCAAGGGCGATGACCCTGCGAAAAAATGCCGCGGCCCCGAGGGGGGGCCCCAGCTCCTGATGGGGGGCCCACCGAAGCTCAAAACGGCGGCGGCCGCGCGCGGTGCTCGCAAGCCCCTCAAGCAGTTGGGCGGCCGCGCGCGGCACCAGCAGAACCCTCGCGCAGTTCGCGGCTCGACGGGGGACCCCGCCGAAGGCCCTAGAGGCAGCGGCTGGGCGCGGCACATTTGCGCAACTGTCGCGCGTGTCGTGGCCCCGCAAGAAGCTCAGCTGCCAGCCCCGACCCCGTTGGCACCGCTCGCGCGGCGGCCGTGGCTCATGTCGGCGCGCCACTGTCACGCGCCCCTGGGCCCCCAAAGAAATTCCACCAGAAACTGCGATCAGAACTGCAATTGGGCGGGCCCTTCGCCAATAATTTGCTGGACGCGCACGGGCGACGCCAGGCCCCGCGCCGCGCCAATTCATGGCGCGCCCCCGCGGCGAGAGACCCCAAAACCGAACCATGGAAGCCGATCCCGCGCGCCGCTGCAGGACGCATAATCGCCCTGAGCTGCCATGACAATCGGCTTTCCCAGTAAGGCACTCGCTGCGCGCCGCAAACACCGTTTGCGCTTGAGCGCTTACGCATTCTAGCATAATGCCATGTAACTTACACATATCGAATATATGATGTTGCGCACTTATTTCCGTAACCCGTGTTACGGCTATTTTGAATATATTCAGCATGCCAGCAACTCTCCATATTACCTTCGTAATAAGTCTTCCTCCTCCTCCTCCTTTTCCTTCTCCTCGTCCTTCTCCCCCTCGACTCTTCTTCCTCCTCTCCATCGGCGTAGTCCCCGTGTGTCCCACCTGCTGAGTGAAGGAACCGGCTTTTGAGCGCAACAATTTTCTTATTTGTGCCGTGCCTCCGGAACCTTGCCAAAATTTGTTTGTTAATCTGGCCGTCGGTGTGTGTGTGGGTGTGTGGCGACATCCGAGTTTTCCGTCGCCACTCGAATCCTTGTTGTCCGCTCCAGTCCTCAAGGACAAGGGTCCAATCGGAAATGGCTCCTGTGACCACGGGCCTTCGCCCTGGGACGACAGATGACCCAAGACGGCCCAACAGGCCCCCAAGAGGTCTCCAAGACGGCCCAAGAGGTCTCCCAAAAGGGTCTCCCAAAGACGGCCCAGGAGGCCTCCAGGAGAGGGCCTCCAGGAGGGCCCGCAGAGGCCACAGCATCATCGATTGGTCCCATGGGTTCATGAAGAATCTTGGCGTCCGCTTCTTTCCTGCTGGGCCTGTTTTGAACCACCACCACCAACATAAGTTGGAGAGGGACGGGGCGCTCCTCCTCCTCCTCCTCCTCGCCCTCTTCCTCCTTCCCCCCATCCAACCTATGGTGGTGGTGGTGGAAAACCGGCCCATGATTCTCGGCCTTCCGACGGTCCGAGGCGGCCCAAGAGCCCCCCCCCCACCAAAGATCGCCCCGAGATCGCCCACGTTCGCGTCGAATGCTTTTTCTGGACGGCCCCAGGGCCCTGGGAGGGCTCCGGTAAACCCTGGACACCTCCCACCTCCCCTAAGCTCAGGCCGGGACTGTCCCCCCACAGGGGGACTTTGGGCGAACAATACAGAAAATACCCCAAATATGCCAACCACAAATATTCAAAAATTGTAAAACAACAGAAAATCGTCCCCTGATTATTGTCTTTTCTTTTTGTATACAAAAACCGAGCTATTTTTGAATATCCCCCCTGTAGAGGGACAGGCCCGACTCTCCCCGACACCCTCCATGGCCCGTGCCCTTCAGGACTCTTGGCAGAAGCACAAGGCACGCGCGCGCCGAGTTCTCGGGTCGCGCTCAAGACCCCCCTCCCTGGCGCCTGGCGCGCGCCGGAGGCCACCAAGGGGAGTCCAGCGCAGATCCCTGACATCCGTGCGGATCCGAGAACCCCTCCCTCATCCCTCCTCCCCATCCTCCCTCCTCCTCCTCCTCCTCCTCCTCCTCCTCCTCCTCCTCCTCCTCCTCCTCCTCCTCCTCCTCCTCCCTCTGACCCCCGACGTCATGACTTTTCACAAGCGTCGACCCCCACAGGTCCCGACCCGTTCCCAGGGACCGATGTCTCATCCTGCGTCGTTCTCTGACGGCCCCGAGGCCCGGCAAGGGCCCGCGCAGGCCGAGAACAACGAAACACCTTCCGTCACGATTGTTTCATGACCCGACGGGGCCTGAGGACGACAACGGGGAGGAGAAGGAAGAGGAGCAAGGGTGGTGCAGGAGCAGGAGGGCCAGGAGGAGGATGAGGAGGACGAGGCTGAGGAGGACGAGGACGAGGAGAAGCGGGCGGGGGAGGACGGGGCAGGCAAAAGGATGCTGCCCAGACATCCGACGCCGTGACGTGTCCGCAGGTGCCTGGGACCCCTCCCCCACGAGCGGGCTCTGCGCGCCGGTCGCTGCTCCCCACGGCTCCCCGGGCCCAAGGGGAGGGCCCCATGGAGGCTGGGGCGCGAAAGAAGGGGGGGGGGCGATGCCAACGACGACGAGTCTGATCAGGGGCGCAAGAATCAGGAGGAGAAGGAAAAGGGCGAGGCTTTCGCACCAGTCCAATGCACCGCCGAGAGAAATTGGGGGGGGGGACCAACACTAAGGAAATTCAACGGTTGATTGGGGAGCGATAAATTGGTGGGGGGGAGGGAAGGAGGGTGCCCCCGCGGGCCCTGCAGGCCCCCTTCTGGGACCTGTGCAGGGACCCCTCTCGGGGCTCTGCAGGGCCCTGTTTCGGCAGCACTCGCGGCCTACCCCCGCCTGTGGCCCCCGCGCGGCGCGCCCTCCGAGAGGCAGAGGAATCGACGAGAACCTCTGGTCGACCTTAAGCCTTTGTTGCTGACGACGCGAAGATGCGTGGGATTACGCCGTGGTCTCTTCTTCCATTCTCGGAGGACCACTTGCGAAAACGGCGGCTCTCCCGCACGGCCTGAACGCGCTCAAAGTCAGTCCGCCGACACCTCCCAGGGTTGATCCTGACCCACTCACACCAGCACCCAGGCTTGCCTCCAGCCAGGGGAGATGATCCTGGATGTTGGTACTGTTGGTAATACATTGGCCACCTAAGAAGCCCGACCCGCCATCACCGAGATCGGGATCATCTTCCATCGGTGGAGGCAACCGCCATCCTGTTGTTGGTGCCAACATCTAGGCCTCCGAATGCCGCAGAAGCTGGGACCGTCAACGTCGTCGTCGTCGTCGTCGTCATCGTCCGTCGTCCGTCGTCCGTCGTCCGTCGTCCGTCGTCGTCGTCGTCGTCGTCGTCGTCGTCGTCGTCGTCCGTCGTCCGTCGTCCGTCGTCCGTCGTCCGTCGTCCGTCGTCCGTCGTCCGTCGTCCGGCGTCCGTCGTCCGTCGTTCGTCGTCGTCGTCGTCGTCGTCGTCGTCGTCGTCGTCGACTCGTGGCGACGGTGCGCCCCCCGGCGTCCTGCGGCCGCGCGAGCGGCTCCGGTCGCGCCTGCTCGGCTGCGCCGAGAAGGGGGGGAATGGACGCGGTGGGGGGTGGCATTAGGTCTCAAGCAGTGGCGAGGCGTCCGCGCTCGCCTGTAAGCCCACCGAAGAATGTTCTAAGAACCTCTTGTGGTCTACACGGAATGTTCTTAGAACAATTCTGGCTGGGACTGTCGTGTTTTAAGACATCGGGTTTATGCTCTAAGCACATTGCTTTGTTCTTTGAGCACGTTCGGGTTCTAAGAACATTCCGTGGTATGCCTATAGTAATGCCGGGACGGTCGGTCCCTGCTCAAAGATCGGGCATGTCCTCCTGCAGGCGAATTTCGAAAGAAAAATAAACCAGTCCCCAGATGATTTTCTGCTGCAGGGCACTAGCAGCACGACGAATCGTCACCAGACCATGTCTTGACTATTCCTGTATATTCTTCCTGTAGACGGACATACCCGATTTGCAGATCATGGCCCGAGGCATGTGCGCGGACCAGCGTCTCTTTCCCCGGCCGAGAGTCACGAGAGGGCCGCCGCGTGTGCGCAGGCCGTTCAGCATGCCCCTCGAGTAGTCCCAGCTGGCCCCAACAGGCCTCCCGAGTAGTCCGGGGTGGCCTCAACTCGGCGGCGAGCCTGGGGCCTGGGGGGTAGGTGAGAAGGAAGCGGGCCCTCCAAGAAGGCTCGGGAATCCTCGGGCCTTCTGATACGCTTCCCAAGCCTTCTCCGAGGACACAGAAACCTTCTCAGAATGCCCGCGGGCTTCTGAGCCCCGCCGCCTTCTGCGCGGGCCTGCTCCTTCTCCCGGGCTCGCCGCCGGTCGAAACCCTGGCGCTGCCTGGGCGCAACGCTCCCCGGGGCTGGGGTGTTGGAACTGGCCTAGACTACTCGTGGGGCCAGTCGAGGCCAGCCGGGCCACCCAAAGCCTCACCGAGGGGACGTCCCGAGAGAAGAGGGGGCCATGGAGTCCAGGGAGATCGCATGGCCCAGGCCGTGCTTTTCGCCCACCCTTCGTATTCACTCCCCTCCCGGGGACGTGCTGAAAGAATAGATGCCCCCTAGATGGGGTCGGAGTAGATGGGGTCGAAGAATCGCGTCGCATCGCCAATGTATCGCAGATGTACCGGCGATGCATCCGCGATGCGTCGGCGACGTCGGCGATGCATCGGCGACGTCGACGTGAAGCAAATCGAGTCCCACATCGAGCCGCATCGCCGATGCCTCGGCGATGCGGCGCGATCCTCCGATCCCATCTACTCCGACCCAATCTAGGAGGCCTAGACCTTCGTCACCAGAGTATGTTTTGAAGTATTCTTAAATATTCCTTCTGATGAGGGACATGCCCGACTGAACCTTAGTCCTTACCCCACTCCCGAATGTGCTGAAAGAAAGAGAAGAGGCCATTAAGTCCGGGGAGAGGGCATGACCCTGGCCACGCACCCCCAGTCCTCACCCCCCTCGACGCTACTTGTTTTTCAGGTCATAACTTCAGGTTGGGCATTTCCTCCTACAGGCAGATTATGGGAGAAACTGATCAGACATAATCAACAGAACACAAAAAATGGTCACCATACTATCTTGTGACTATTCGTGGATGTTCCCCCTGTAGGAGGGACACGCCCGACTTGAACACAACTTGGGCCTCCAGCGGCCGTTCCAGACGATCCGGGCGCCCCCAGAAAGCACTCGACGAGAAGCAGCTGCCAGCGGAAGAGCACCCAGAAGTGAAAGAATCTGCGCGAACCAGCGAAGGCTTCCTCCCTCCCTTCCCCCTTCGAGGTCGAACATGCCCCGTCTCCGAGATCCGACGCCGAGGAAACATGCAGCACCGCGAGCAATCACGACCTCAGCCCTGGCCCCAAAAGTTTTGCGGCACGTCTCGAGCGGCATCGATCCCCGAGGGTCCGGGGCCCGAGACAGGGCAAACGCGCCCACGCGACGCCAGGATCTCGAGGCTCGAGGGCGACAGCGTCCCAGAGGTCCTGACCGCTTCGCCGGGAGCTGCTGCGCGCCCCGTCGCCACGCTGGACAGGCTCAGGTCGGGCCTGCCCCCCCAATTACAGGGGGACTCTGGCCGAGAGATGAAAACATTCAAACAAATACTCAACCGATCTCGCAAAATACTTTAAAAAAAAGCCCCCCGCCAAAATTATTCCTTGAAGAATCTCTGGAGCTTCCCCCTGTGGAGGGACGAGCCCGACTTAAGGACAGGCCCCCGGGCCCGACCACGGGCCCCGGAGGCCCGCCATCGGGGGAACAAGCGCGGCGACGGAAGACCGCAGCACGTCGGCTGCCCGACAGCGCCCTCGCCCCCCCCGCGGCCGCGCCCCCCGCGCCTGCGCCGACCGAAACCGCCCGGAGCCGACGAAAGCCTCCTCGAGCGCACTGCTTACTCGCGGCCACAGCGGGCGATGTGGGGGGGGGAAGGGCGGGGGGGTAGGGGGCATGACGCGCGCTATGGCCTCAAGGGTAGGCGGAAAAACGCTCTCCTGGCGTCTCACCTTTTTGTTGTTGAGCCGGGCGTTTGCGCTCGGATTCGGGTCCCCGGGCTCTGGGCGCGCAATGAGTGGGGGTGGCGAGACGTGTGGGGGGGGGGGGAGGTGTGCTTTTCGGGCCCTCAAGGCCCCCTCGGGGGCCCTAAATTGCCCCTCTGGGGGCCTTGAAGAGTCCTTTTTGGCAGCCCTTGTTACAATACTCCCCCAATTGATCGCCCCCGCCCCACAACTTACGCGTTATGGCCCAGAGGGTGAACAAAACACTCTCCTCCCCACCTCCGAAGCTCCGGGGACATGAAGATACCGATGCCGCTATTCTCAGGTCGGGCATGTCCTCCTACAGGCGGATTTTGGACGAAAAACAAAAAATAATCAGACAATAATCAGCACAGGAGTCACAAGAGCACGAAACATCGCCACCAGAGTATTGTTCGACTATTCTGGAATACTCCTCCTGTAGAGGGAAATGCCCGACTTAACGCTAGTTGCTCTCCAGGCCTTTCCCCCGGGCGCGCTCGGACCAGGACCTCGAGGCGAACCCACCCCGTGGCGCCGAAGGAAGCGTAAATTGGCACCGGCACCTCTCCCTCCTCTGACCCTCCAGACTATGTTTTAAACTATTATTGAGTAGATTCCTTCTGTTCGGGGACATGCCCGACTGAACCTTAGTCCTCACTTCACTCCCGAATGTGCTGAAGGAGAGAGAAGAGGCCATTCAGTCCAGGGAGAGGTCATGGCCCCATCTAGGAGGCCTAGACCTTCACCGAAGGGTCTTCGGGGGGCCTTCGAGGACGCCTTCGCCCTCGAAGGGCCTCCGAGGGCGAAGAGACGTCCTCGCCCCCCCTGCCTTGGGCCCGGGACCCCGGCCCCCCCTCGCGCCAGGAAGCACGCACGACGGCCATGTTTCGCTGTTCTCGGCTCAAGTCGGGCGTGTCCCCCTACAGGGAGATGTTCGACGAACGTGAAAAATACTTGAACAATGTTCCAAGATGGTCTAAAAATACTCACAAAAATAATCCCCAGATTATTTGTTGACTATTTTTGAAGATTCCCTATGTAGAGGGACAGGCCCGACTTAATTCTCGGCCTCCGGACCCCCAGACGCCCTCGGGCAGTGAAAAAATCACGGCGGGAGTTTGTTCCTCATTTTCGGCCTCCGGGGGGCCCCTCACGGGGCCTCGGGACCGTCCAAAACCGACTCAGGACGAGACAATGGTCCCGCGGAAGGGGTCGAGACCTCGCGGGGGTCGCCGCTACAAACAAAGTCATGACGTCGGGGATCTGGGACCCTCCCCCGTCGAGGGCGGAAGCGTCCTTTAAGCCCCTCTTTTGGGGCGCCCCCCGAGCGCCGTTTCCGGCGGCCCCTGGGCCCGACAACGGGCCCAGGGGGCCCAGGTCGGGGAACAACTCTGCGATCGAACGGCTTCCGCAGCCCAAAACGGGGTCCAGGTAGAAGGGAGGGGGTGGCTTGGGGGTTTGGATCGACTCGTCACAATGTCGAATTCGCATGATGCAGAAACAATTCGCGCAAGAATTTGAATGGCCAGGGTACTCAAACGTGACTCGAATCCGAAGTGCCAATGCCAGCCAAGTTGTGGCGAGCGGGTCTCTGGTTCGGCCATGGGAAATGGAAAGCGCTCTTAGGCACCTAACGTCCCCTGCTCGCAGGCTCTCCAGGAGATCAGGTTGGAGCTGGACGGTCACGCCGCAGTCGGCCAGCAAAGTAGATCATTGCAACCCGCCAGATGCAATGCACTTGCAATACATCTGGGGTGCTGCAGAAGCTCTGGGGCGTGCCATATGTTCAGGGGCGCAAATGGTTTCCTTGATTATTATGTGCCGTACGACTGTCGCAATATAATGCAATACGAATATCATCGGTGTAGTACTTGTGCGGTAGAATTGCCCGTCTGGCATACATTTGCAATGCCGTCCGCGCGCTTTGCAACTTAGATCCGCGTTCTGTGTCGGACAAAACACTCGGTGCCAAGCGCGCCAACTCTTGATGCGACTACTGGCGCAGATGGGCCGCCGATGTCTTCGAACACAGTCCGAGACGCATGCCTGCCGTCCAACTGATTTCTTTGCTTGTCCCGACGCTGTTCGTAGGCGCACGTTGGATTGAACGGCGGCAGAGGGCAATCAATTTCGCACTGACACATCTGATGTTTCAGTGCCAGCTACCGGCGGCGAACCTGGGGTGGAGGGGAAGTGAGAAGGGACGGGCCTTCTGAAGGCTCAGAAGGCCCCCAGCCTTCTGCGGAATTTTCTGAGCCTCCCCACAAGACGCAGAAGACCTCTCGGAAGGCGCGAGGGCTTCCGAGAGGACCGGCCGCCTTCTGCGAGGGCCTTCTCCTTCTCAATCTCCCCCTCGCTCCCCGCCCCTCCTCCCCGCCCCTCCTCCTCCTCCTCCTCCTCCTCCTCCTCCTCCTCCTCCTCCTCCCTCCTCCCTCCCTCCTCCTCCTCCTCCTCCTCCTCCTCCTCTTCCTCCTCCTCCTCTTCCTCCTCCCTCCTCCTCTCCTCCTCCTCCTCCTTCCTCCTCCTCCTCCCTCCTCCTCCTCCTCCTCCTCCTCCTCCTCCTCCTCCCTCCTCTCCTCCTCCTCCTCCTCCTCCTCCTCCTCCTCCTTCTCCTCTTCCTCCTCCTCCTCCTCCGCCTCCGCCTCCGCCTCCGCCCCCCCTCGCGGGCCGCCAAGTTGTTCGGCTTTTCGGGTCATACCTCGGGTCTCCGGCGGCCGACATCGGGACGACTCGGGCGCACGGCCGGAACGCCCTATCGGCGAGGCGCGGCTGCTGGCAGGCCTCCCGCGGCTGGAAAACCACCGAGAATCGACGCAAACCTCCAAAATCCTCGAACTCGAACCTCGTACCTCGAACCTTCCCCCCCTCTCTCGCCGCCGAAGCGCCTGTACCTGGTGCTGCTCTTGGGCTGCCCAGAGACGAATCACATCGTCGGATCCGGGCAGCCCCAGAGCGTGCTCTTCTCCTCCCCAGGGGAAAGCTTGTTACCCGAGCCAAACCCCCCCTACCCGGGGAACGGTAACGATCGTACTGGGTGGGGGGGGCCTGGACCCCCCCACAACATGCTGTGGTGCACACAAGCGATTGATGCGCAAGAGGCAGGGACGTGCCCTGGCGGGTGCACGTCGCGGCCGCCGTTACGGTAACTTGGCGGCGCGCAGAGGAGGGTAGGAGGAGGGGGAAGGCTTCTTAGAAGGAAGCTGCTTCTTAGAAGGCGCCCGCCTTCCATCTGTAGAGGAGGCTCGCGCCTTCTAAGAAGCAAGGGTGCTTCTAAGAAGCCTTCCCCCCTCCCCCTCCTCCCCTCCACGCGTGGCTGAGTTATCCTCCCGCCCGACCCCCCCCCCCCTTCCCCCGGGCAAGGAATAATTACCCGGGAAAGAAAAAACCGGTCACCAGAGCGCCTTCGACGGCTGGAACATAGCGCCGAGGAGCTACGAGAACGTCCGAAATCCTCCAATCTCGAGCCTCGAGATTCGCACCGTCCTGTGGCCGTCGTTGATGTTTAGAGCGCTAGGGGGCGATGTGTTGTTTTAGTATTCAAGATTCGGCTGTTCCGAGCGACGAAAATGCAGCCCCAAACGAACACAAAAACAGCAGCACACATCGGAAACCAACAGAGCACGGCGCGACCGAGAATCCCAGAAAAGGAAAACACACATACCGGCGCTGACCGACGCTATTAGACGCTAAATCGACGGCACGTCGACGCAAAGTCTGCGCCTTTTTTATCGACTGCTTACCATACGCTGGCGCACGCGAGTGCATCCTACAGACGAGGCCACTGGTGCGGGCAATACTTATATCCATATCCAGCGCGTCTTGCACTTCCGTGGAAGGGGCGCCGCGAGGCCGAGGCGCCCTAGACATGGACACACACATCGAGCCTCTCGGGACCAAATTGGAATCCGTATCCGGTGCGCCTCATGCTTCTGGGCAAGCGAGCCCGACACTCCACGACGCACTGGGCTTGGACACAGACACTGCCCGCAACGAGGACACCCGAGGCTCCCGGGTCTCTGCTGCCGAGCGCGCCCCTGGCCGGCCGCCCCCCGAGCGCCTGCGCTCCGCCTCCCCGCCGCGCGAGCGCGACCTGGAGCCCCGGGGCGGCCCGGCGGGCGCCGCGTCGCCGCGGGCGTCGCCGCGGCGAGAGCGGGAGCGCGACGCCCCGCGCCGCTTCTGGGCGGGCCGGCCGTTTTGCTGCCCGGGGGGGCTCGCGCGAGGATCGAGCCGGCGAGGGCCGAGCTGCCCAGGATGGGGATCCAGCGAGGATCGGGACCCGAGGAGCTGGCGGTGAGCGAGGTTCGAGGATCGAGGATCGAGCCTTCGAGGGTGCAGCTGGAGGCTCCCGGTGATCGAGGATGCGAGGCTCGCGCTTGGCGAGCTTTCGAGGATCGAGGCTCGAGGCTCAAGCTCAAGGCTCGGGGACCGAGCTTCGGGGATAGAGAGACGTCGAGGATCGAGGTGCGAGGCTGGGGCTTTCGAGGACCCATCGAGGATCGGGGATCGAGGCTTGACGATCGAGCTTTCCAGGAGCAAGGGTCGAGGATCCCCACCCGAGGTGCGAGGATCGAGCTTCTTCGCATCTGGGGGGGCCATGTCTGGCCCCCTCGCCGCCACCGCCGGGTCAGAGGGCGGCCAAACGCAGCTTCCGGGGGACTGGCCGCTTCTGCTCCGTCGGCATGGAGGGGGCCCAAATCTCTAGAAGGCAATCCTCACGGTGCGGCAGGTTCGTGCCGTGACATTCTGAAGAAAATCCTGGAGGCCTCGCGCGGCAACTTGAGACCCGACTTGCGTCGGATCCGCGTCGGATTTACATCGGGTTCACGTCGGATCACGTCGGGCTTACGTCGGGCTTACGTCGGACTGACTCCGGAGCATCGCCGCGCGAGCGTCGACCCATAGCTTACGGAACTGACACGTGGACTAGATCATACTACTATTACGCGCCGCGCGAGGCCTCCGGGATTTGTCCTCATAACGCACCCTGGAGCACCCTCAGAAGCGCCCAGTAATAGTACCCAGAGATTCTGGCGTTGCAATTTTTTCACAACGGGCGTGCTCCCTCAAGTTCGGGCCCCGGGGCCTTCGCAAATCGAGCCGGCGCAAAAGATGACGCAGAAAGATGGGGTCCGGGGCTCAGCGTGATTGTTTGCGATGTTGCAATTTTGTTGGCAACGTCGGATCTCAGGGCAGGTGCCTAGAGACCTCCAATCCCAAGACACCCCCAAAGACGCTCTCCAGGATTGGTTGCGATGTTCCTCATATGCGACGGTCCGCGCGCGGGTTTCTGACCACGCGTGGGTCGTTCCACCTCGAGCGCCGTGGCGGCTTTTCGAGCGCCGAGTCGTTCCACGCTGGGCGGTTCTGGGCCCCTGGCGATGCGCACGCAGCCTGGAACGCCCGCGGCGGGGTTTCTCTGCCCAGAGGGCACGGCGCGGACCCACCGTGGGCGCCCGAGAAGAAGGAAGCAAAAAGTGCAGGGCTGCCCAGTGAACGCCTGGGAGCGCGAGAACGTCGGATAACACCGAAAAACGGACCCTGGTGTGGGGTGGGGGCAGAAAGAGGAGCAGGAGGAGGAGGAGGAGGAGGAGGAGGAGGAGGAGGAGGAAGAGGAGGAGAGGAGGAGGACGAGGAGGAGGAGGAGGAGGAGGAAGTGGAGGAAAAGGAGGAGGATTGGGAGGAGGAGGAGGAAACGGAGGAGGAGGAGGCGGAGGAGGAAGGAGGGAGGAGGAGGAGGAGGAGGAGGAGGAGGGGAGGAGGGAGGGAGGAGGAAGAGGAGGAGGAGGGAGGGAGGAGGAAGAGGAGAAGAGGAGGAAAGGGAGGAGGAGGAGGAGGAGGAGGAGAAGGATAAGCACTCAGTCTACAGCCAGGCGCGCGACGCCCCGCGACGCCTCTGGGGCCCAGACTCCGACGTCAGTATTGTTTCCATGACGTCGACCCCCCAGAAGGGGGAAGAGGGATGAGGAGGGAGGAAGGAGGAGGAGGAGGGAGGGAGGAGGGAGGAGGGAGGAGGGAGATGAAGAGGAGGAGGGAGGAGGAGGAGGAGGGAGGAGGGAGAGGAATGATGATGAGGATGATGATGATGATGATGATGATGATGATGATGATGATGATGATGATGATGATGGAGGAGGAGGAGGAGGAGGAGGAGGAGGAGAGGAGGAGGAGGAGGAGGAAGGAGGAGAGGAAAGAGGGAGGAGGAAGGAGGAGGAGGAGGAGGAGGAGGAGGAGGAGGAGGGAGGAGGAGGGGAGGAGGAGGAGGAGGAGGGAGAGGAGGAAAAGGAGGAGGAGGAGGAGGAGGAGGAGGAGGAGGAGGAGAGGAGGAGAGGAGGAGGACGAGGAGGAGGAGGAGGAGGAAGTGGAGGAAAAGGAGGAGGATTGGAGGAGGAGGGGAAACGGAGGAGGAGGAGGCGGAGGAGGAGGAAAGGGAGGAGGAGGGGAGGAGGAGGAGGAGGAGGAGGGAGGAGGAGAGGAGTAGGAAGGGAGGAAGGGAGAGGAGGGAGGAGGAAGAGGAGGAAGAGGAGAAAGGGAGGAGGAGGAGGAGGAGGAGGAGGAGAAGGATAAGCACTCAGTCTACAGCCAGGCGCGCGACGCCCCGCGACGCCTCTGGGGCCCAGACTCCCGACGTCAGTATTTGTTCCATGACGTCGACCCCCAGAAGGGGGGAAGAGGGATGAGGAGGGAGGAAGGAGGAGGAGGGAGGAGGAGGGAGGAGGGAGGAGGGAGGATGAAGAGGAGGAGGAGGAGGAGGAGGAGGAGGAGGAGGAGGAAATTGATGATGATGATGATGATGATGATGATGATGATGAGGAGGAGGAGGAGGAGGAGGAGGAGGGAGGAGGAGGAGGAGGAGGAGGAGGAGGAGGAGGAAGGAGGGAGGAGGAGGAGGAGGAGGAGGAGGAGGAGGAGGAGGAGCGGAGGAGGAGGAGAGGAGGAGGAGGAGGAGGAGGGGAGGAAAAGGAGGAGGAGGAGGAGGAGGTCCTCGACCCATTCCTCAGGACTGGTTTCTCGTCCCGAGTCGTTGTTTGACGGTCCCGAGGCCCGAGAAGGGCCCCCGGAGGCCGAGAACTATTAAAAACCTCCCGTCATGATGCTTTCATTGCCCGCGGGGCTCCGGGGGGGGGGGCAAGCTGTGTCACGCTGGATCGAGATCGGACCAGTTCGACACGGACCCTGGTGGGGCACAGCCATCGTGCTGCCACAAGGAGCGCAGTCGGCGGTGGACAAACCTCCCTTTGGTAAACCACCCTTTCGTGAAACTGGCCAAGGACCGAAACCAACGGACCTGGACCAGCAAAAATGACGGCCGCGCGAGCCGAAGACGGCCAAGTCGCTAATCGACTTGTCAGCGTGGCAGGTCTATCAGCCTCCGAACATTGGGCGGAAGGGGGAGCGGAGGTTCGGGGGGTCTGGCCCTGGACCTCTGCTTCACGCGACTGTTTGCGGCAGGGGTCCCACGGGGGAGACTCCACCTGCTCGCTCGAAACAGGCGCCAAAAGCAGCCAAGATCTGCTCCACAAGGGGGGGGAGGGGGGGTAGGAGGGCCTGCGCCGATCGGCAAAACAATGAATAAGAAAACGATCACCCGAGCCCCTCCTTTTCCGAGCCCAGAGCGGACATGTTCTCCTGCGTCTTGGCCGATCTGCCCAGACATCCAGCGTCTTGGGAGTGGCCCCCCTGTGGCAGATGACCCTCCACTGCGTCCACACACATCACGACAGGGGGGGCGCGATGGGTCACCAATCTTGGGAGCCCAGGCTCCCTCACCTGGCGTTAGAAGTATTGTCTATGACCATGGCAAACAAACCATGTGGCGGGATGGAGGGATGCCCAGATCCGTAATGATAAAAAAATACTGAAAAGTGCATGGCGTCCTTGTCAGACGCCTTGTCCTTGACTTGGGCGTAATACGCCGCATGCCTGGGCGCGACGCGCGTCAAGTTAGCACTCGCCCGAAGCATGTGAAGAGAAGGACTATCCGCCACCCTGGCCCTTGGCACGTGGAGGCGTGGCAGAATGCCAAGCGCTGCCTGGCAGGGTTTCTGTAAATCTTCTGAGGGGCTCCCCTCTCTCGTCACAAAATTCAGCACGCACCCAAGGGGCGTCGGGGTGGCGTCGGGGCTTTCCAAGCGAGCCTTGGGAGATGGGGGCGATGCGTGCACCACCGCGCCAGGATGGTTTCCCCCTCCTGTCCAACTCCTCCTCCTCCTCCTCGCCCTCCTCCCCCTCCTTTTCTCAGTGTTCTATAATTAGTTGTATCAGTAGTGGCTTCGTATCAATATTGTTCAGATGATTACTATTTATCTTCATCTTATATGATTAGTCTTCTCATTCGTTTTATTCTTACGATCTATATTACTCATATGATTGCTGCACCTATTCGTATATCTATATGTTAGAACTCATACCATCATAGTATTGATATTGATGTTCATATTGTTGCTGACGTGAATATAATTGCGGATATTGTTATTATTATTCCTCCTCCTCCTCCTCCTCCTCCTCCTCCTCCTCCTCCTCCTCCTCCTCCTCCTCCTCCTCCTCCCCCCTTTCCCTCCTCCTTCCCCTCCCCCCTCCCCCTACCGAGGCTTCCCAGGCGGCCCGACGGCTCCCTGGAAACCCCTCCAGGGGCTCCCGGAGACTGCCGAGAGGCGGCCCAGGCAGGCCACCAAGATCGCCAGGACGGGCCACGATCGTCTCCAGACGCACCTTCTTAAGAAAATCCTGGAGGCCTCGAGGATCGGGGATCGAGGCTTGACGATCGAGCTTTCCAGGAGCAAGGGTCGAGGATCCCCGCCCGAGGTGCGAGGATCGAGCTTCTTCGCATTTGGGGGGGCCATGTCTGGGCCTCCTCCTCGCCGCCACCGCCGGGTCAGAGGGCGGCCAAACGCAGCTTCCGGGGGACTGGCCGCTTCTGCTCCGTCGGCATGGAGGGGGCCCAGATCTCTAGAAGGCAATCCTCACGGTGCGGCAGGTTCGTGCCGTGACATTCTGAAGAAAATCCTGGAGGCCTCGCGCGGTAACTTGAGACCCGATTTAAGTCGGATCCACGTCGGATTTACGTCGGGTTCACGTCGGATTGCATCGGAATTGCGTCGGATTTGCGTCGGACTGGCGCCAGAGCTTCGCCGGGCGAGCGTCGAACCATAGCATAGCTTACGGAGCCGACGTGCGGACTGGGTAATACAACTACTACGCGCCGCGCGAGGCCTCCGGGATTTGTCCTCATAACGCACCCTGGAGCACCCTCAGAAGCGCCCAGTAATAGTACCCTGAGATTCTGGCGTTGCAATTTTTTCACAACGGGCGTGCCCCGGGGCCTTCGCAAATCGAGCCGGCGCAAGAAATGACGCAGAAAGATGGGGTCCGGGGCTCAGCGTGATTGTTTGCGATGTTGCAATTTTGTTGGCAACGTCGGATCTCAGGGCAGGTGCCTAGAGACCTCCAAGCCCAAGACACCCCCAAAGACGCTCTCCAGGATGCCCTCGAGGCCAAAACCATGGATTCCCCGCTGGCTTTTCACGCTGTTCACATTTCCACACCCTCCGGTCCAAGGTCGCCGCCTTGCGGCCTTCGAAAGCACACCAAGCCGTCTGAGAGCACCAAACTGGCCCAACAGGGTCTACAGAGGAACCACAGACGGCCTACGTAAGACGGCGCTACGGCGGGCCCAAGAGAGCCCCAAGGCGGCACAAGAGGGCCCTAAGGGAGACCAAATATTGCCCGACAGGAGCCCTAGACAGCTACAAGACGGCCCTAATAAGCCCCATGAGCCCATGAGAGCTCCGCACGAAGTGCAGACGAAAGGCGTGGCATGTGACTGCCAGAAGGGCGGTGCTCGAAAGGTCGGCATACAACTCGCTGAGCTGGCACGGCCGCGGACTGTCTGCAGGCCCCTGGGCAAACAGCTCGAAGCGAAGTGGATGACCAGAGGGAGACGTGGGACCACCCCAGACCACAGACGACATGATTGGCTCATCACGTCCATGCCCAAAATTCTCGACCCATTCCCAGGGAACGGTTTCACATCATGAGTCGTTTTTTGACGGCCCGGGGCGCGGTAAAAAGTCCCCTGGAAGCCCGAAAGACAGAAAAACCTTCCGGTGAGATCGTTCTACAGCGCGAGGGGGTCTCGGACAGGGACGAGCAGGAACGCCGGGCCGACGACGACGAACAAGAAGAGAACGCGGCGGACGGCCACGTGGCCGAAGGAGAGGCGCGCCAGGGGGCCGAAGAGAGGCACGCCACGTGGCCATCACCGTCCTCATCATCATCATCATCATCATCATCATCATCATCATCATCATCATCATCATCATCATCATCATCATCATCATCATGATCATCAGCAGCAGCATCATAATCATCCTCATCCTCATCCTCATAATCATCCTCATCCTCATCCTCATCCTCATCCTCATCCTCCTCCTCCTCCTCCTCCTCCTCATCATCCTCATCATCCTCATCATCATCATCATCGTCATCGTCATCCTCATCAGCCTCATCATCCTCATCATCATCTTAGTCTTTATCTTCATCGTCATCTTCATCATCAACATCACCATCACCATCACCATCACCATCGTCATCAGCATCATCATCACCATGATGAATCATCATCATCATCATCATCATCATCATCATCATCATCATCATCATCATCATCATCATCATCATCATCATCATCATCATCGGGCTGGGAGCGCGGATGTGGCTGTGCTGCCGAACACTGAGAAAACGGCGCGGCTGCGCAATGAGCCTCCATTCCATTCCTGCGATTCCGTGCATTGCTGGCAGGGCTGACCGATTACCAGAGAACACGGCTGGGAGCGGCTGCTGCTCTCACAGCGACTCAGACTCTTAGATGCACAGACCGCGCTTCGGAACCGTGCATAACTCTAGGGCGCGTCAGGGTAGCCAGTCAGGCCGAAATCACACCACATTTAGGGCGAACGCGCCCTCAGCTTCGACCTTCCCGAATCCAAAGGAATAAAAAATCGGCGCAATGTAAGGCGGATCCGCATGCCTTTACGATCAACATGAATGCCTATTCTACGTCAGAACTTGTATGCTTTGTATCAAAATGTACATGGCGTACGACTCACATCAGCCAACAGTTGTCAGTCCGCTGATGCAGTAGAAGAGGCTTTCGGCCCGCCGCCGAACGTGAAGGCAAAGGGAAGCCCATTCGATGCTGGAAGCAGTGACGCGCTCCAAGCGTACTGGGAGTCCACAGATGCATGCTTCCAGCGAACCGCATGCACTCCAGGGAGTTTCCGCGCACCAGCCACCATTCTTCTACGATCCAGGAGCGTCGCGCTGACGTTTCCCTGGGAGTCCAGTGCACATCTGGCTCCCGACGCCGACTGCCTTGCGCGAGGAAAAACTCGCTCTCCTCAACTGCCGCGCTTACATGGGTCAACATGGCCCAATCATCCTGGCGCTCGCTCCTTCGCCTCAAGAAGTAAAAAGAGGCGATGGTAGCACGCATGAAGCGAAACGACGCAAAACGTATCGACCCCGCCATGGTATTCATGTTGGACAGACGGGGCAGGGCGGAACACTGCGGCGAGGTATGGGTGCCGCCGCCATGCGGCCACGCAGCGCGGCACCTGCCGCGCAAGCGGTGCTGTAAGGTGCAGCTCGAGGGAATAACCTGACGTCGGCGATACATCGCGGATGGATCGGCGACAGGCCCGCCGACAGCGAAGCCGCGCATTCCCCCCCCCCTCGCTCGCCGCCGACAAACATGACATGCCGATCTCGATCGTCCCGATCACGTGATCCGATTGGCTGAGGATACGTTCCGGGCTTTCCAGGGCGTCTGGCGGCACAGCAAGGGCGAAGCATGAGGAAACATGGGACACCCGGGAAACCTGGGAAATCCTGGAACGTATCATATCATGACCTCTTGCTCCTCTGACACCACAAGCGGAGTGCCGATCTCGATCGCCCCGATCGCGTGGCGACGGGGGCGGTGCGCACCCGGTGCTCCAGGCCCACGGGTCGTTGGGCTTCGTCTGCACGAGGCCGCCGGCCTACCGGCGCCCGCGCGACCGGCCGGCGGGGGCGAAGAGCCGAGAGTCTCTGCGTCAGAAGGGCGGGTCTGGCGCAGGTGGGTCCGCGGTCGGGGACGCACTGGCCCTCCTCCTCCTCCTCCTCCTTCTGATTATCCTCCTCCTCCTGCTCCTCCTCCTCATCCAACTCCTCCTCCTCCTCCTCCTCACCCTCCCCCTCCTCCAACTCCTCCTCTTCTTCTCCCTCTTCTTCTTATGTTTATTCTTCTTATTCTTCTGTTTATTCTTCTTCTTATGTTTATGATTATTCCTCTTACTATTTTTCTCCTCCTCCTCCTCCTTCTTCTGATTATCCTCCTCCTCCTCCTCCTCCTCCAAAAAAAAAACTGCAGGATCCCGCAAGTTCCTGCACGTAGGCCTGGGTCGATGCACCCCTGGCTCCGCAAGAGCCTGGAGGATCCGGCGCTCTGGCTGGCGCCCGTTTGCATTGACCCCCGTCCCTCGGGCACCGACGCGGGGACCTCCTGCTCCTCCTCCTGCTCCTCCTCCTGCTCCTGCTCCTCCTCCTCCACAATTACTCAATATGAAAATACTCTCCCTCTTCCCCTGATGGCGTCCGGGTGATGGCCGCGCACCCTCCGCGTACTGTTTTTTTACACACAGGATGCCCGGGAAATCCTAGGAAACGACTCTCGCTGAGGCGCCGGCTCATTTTTTCCCAAAATGCTGCACTCGTTGAGGCGCCGGCTTCATTTCTGCTCCCGACTCGTTCCGAATCGTGCTCCCGCTGCAGCGTGGGCCTAATTTTCGGTCGGTGTTTGGCCTCCGTCGTTCAGGATGGCGTTCTCGCCCCAGCGCGGGCCTTTTTCTCGCGCGCCCATCCGCCCGCCACCACCGCGCCGCACCGCCACCACCACCACCATCACCACCACCACCACCACCACCACAACCACCACCAGCACCAGCACCAGTACCAACACCACCACCACCAGCACCAGCACCACCACCACCAGCACCACCACCATCACCACCACCACCACCAACACCACCACTACCACCACCACCACCACCACCCCCACACAACCACGCACACACGCACGCACGCACGCACGTGCACCACCACCCACTACGCACGCGCGCGCGGAGCCACAGGTCCGCTACGACACGCGTCCGCGGATAGAGAAAATCAGCGCCATGGTAAGGGATGGGAGGGAGGGGGTAGGACGTCAGATATGACGCGAGCGCACCTAGCTTGTCCTTCTCCCCCTCCCCCTCCTCCTCCTCCTCCTCCTCCTCCTCCTCCTCCTCCTCCTCCTCCTCCTCGTCTTCCTCCTCCTCTTCCTCCCCGCCGTCGCCGGCGCCGGCGCTGGCGGCGGCCAGCAGCGCCCGCGCTGGCGCCGGCGACGGCGGGGACGCAGCAACGATTACCACCACTACCACCACCACCACCACTACAACCACCACCGCCGCACCACCACTACCACCACCACCACCACTACAACCACCACCGCCGCTCAACCCACCACCACCACCACCACCACCACCAACAACAACAACAACAACAACCCACCACACAACCGCCACCACCACCACCACAGCCACCACCACCACAACCACTACCACCGCCACAACTCACCATCACAACCACCACCACAAAAACCCACCACCACTACCACCACCACCACAATCTACCACACCACCACCACCACACCACCACCACACCACCACCACAAACACTACCAGCAGCGCAACCCACCGCCACCACCACAAACCACCCACACCACCACCACCACCACCACCACCACCACCCACCACAAACCACCACCACACCAGCACCACAGCCACCACAAACACCACCACGGGTAACTCCCATCACCACCACCACCACCACAAAAAACACACCACCAACCACCACCACAACCACCACCACAATCGATCACACCACCACCACCCCACCACCACCACCCAGCAGCCAACCCACACACCACCACCACCACCACAACCACAACCACCACCACCATAACCACAACCCACCACGACCACCACAAGCAACCACCACCACCACCGCCACAACAACCACCACACCACCACCAAACCACCACCACCACAACCCACCACCACCACAACCACCACCACAACCACAAACCACCACCACAAACCACCACCACCCCCACCAAACCCCCACCACCACCACAACCACCGCCACCACACCAAACCACACACCCACCACAACCACCACCAAGGCCACACCGCCCCACCAACCCACCACCACCACCACCACCACCACCACCACCACCACCACCACCACCACCACCACCACCACCACCACCACCACTACCACCGTCGTCCTCGTCAACGCTCCCCGCCGCCGCCGCCCGCCGCCGCAGGCGCAGGCGCCTCGTCGTCCCCGCCGCTGCCGCCAGCCGCCGCCGACGCAAGCGCCGGCCCGAGGAGAGGGGAAGCAGGGGAAGGAAGAGGATGGGGGGGGAGTGTCGAACCCCCCCCCTCGGTCACGGGAGGGTGTGGGGATTCCACCCCCCCCCCCCCTCCAAACGACCACAGACCGCGCTCTTTCGCTGGAACGGGTGCGGGGGCCGCATGTGGACGGTGGCACTGGAACCTTCCGGTGGAACTCCCTATGGGGCCACGAAATGTGTATGGAGTGTGCGAACATGGGTGCGGGTGACGCATGCGGGCGGTGGCACTGGGGCCTTCGATGGAACTCCACATGGGGCCACGAAACGTAGGAGGGGTTTGCCGACAGGGGTGCGGGGGACGAATGTGGACGGTGGCAGTGGAACCTTCCGTGGAGCTCCCTATGTGGCCACGAAGCGTGTGAAGGCTGTGCCGACATTGTGCGGGGGACGCGTGTGGGCGGTGGCACTGGGGCCTTCGGTGGAGCTCCGTATGGGACCACGAAACGTGTGAGGCGGATGCCGAAATGGGTGCGGCGGACGCATGTGGAGGGTGGCGCTGGGGCCTTCAGTGGAGCTCCCTATGGGGCCACGAAACGTGTGAGGGGGGGGGGCCGAAATGGGAGTGGGGAGCGCATATGGACGGTGGCATTGGTGCCTTCGGTGGAGCTCCCTATGGGGCCACGAAGCGTGTGAGGGGTGTGCCGAAAATTGTTGTGGGGGACGCATATGGACGGTGGCGCTGGGTCATTCGGTGGAACCCTCCATGGGGTCACGAAGCGTGTGAGGGGTGTGCCACAACTTGTGTGGCGGACGAATGTGGACGGTGGCGCTGGGGCCTTCGGTGGAACTTCCCATGGGGCCACGAAACGTGTGAGGGGTGTGCCGGACGCATGTGGACAGTAACACTAGGGCTTTCGGTGGAGCAGGTTATGGGGCCACAAAGCGTGTGAGGGGCGTGCCGAAACAAGGACACGCGGAGGGCATATACAAGGAGGGGGAGGAGGGAGGAAGACGGGGAGGGGGCAGCGGGAGTGAAGACGCGGGGCGCTGTCTCTTCAAAACGAAGACCCAACACCACATGATGGTTGGGAAAGTACAGCTTAAACCAAGAAGCGTGACAAATTTTGCCAACGGATTGGCACCGGAACCGGAATCAGGAACAAAGCGGCGATGGGCCTCCCACCAAAAAACTAGCCTGGCGAAGGACTCAACCACACGCACGTGTGAATACCGCGGTTGTCGGTATCATGTTCGGTGGAACCCCCTGTGGGGCCATGAAACGCTGTACTGGGTCCGCACGCGGACTGCGCCAATGAAACCTTGGGTGGAGCTCCCCGTGGGGCCACGAGACGCTGTACTGGGTGGGGGAGACGCATGCGGGCTGCGCCGCAGGGACTGGGACCTTCGGTGGAATTCCCTATGGGGCCACGGAACGCTGTACTCGGTCGGGGACACGCATGAGGACGGTGCCATTGAGACCTTCGGTGGAACTGCGTATGGGGCCGCAAAGAGCTGTACAGACTGGGTGTGGCGGGCGCATGCGAGCACCCCCACTGGGACCTTCGGTGGAACGCCCGATGGGGCCACGAAGTACTCTACTGGGTGGGGGGGGGGCGCACGCGGCGGGCACACCCACTGGGATTTCGGTGGATCTCCTTATGGGGCCACGAAGCGCTGTACTGTGTGTGTGGGAGGGGAAGCATGCGGGCACTCCCACTGGGTTTTTCGGTAGAGTTCCCATATGGAGCTACGAAACGCTGTATTGGGTGTTGGGGACGCATGCGGGCACCCCCACTGGCCACTGGGGCCTTCGGTGGAACTTCCTATGGGGCCACGAAACGCTTGACTGTGTGAGGGGGACGCATGCGGGCACCCTCACTGGGGCCCTCGGTGGAGCTCCCTGCGGGGCCACGAAACGCTGTACTGGGTCGGGGGGACGCATGCGGGCACCCCCGCCAGTGCCGTCGGTGGAGCTCCCAGTGGACCACGAAGCGCTGTACCGGGAGAGGGGGGCGCACGCGGGCTACCCATGTGGCCACGAAGCGCTGTATTGGGTGAGGGGGGCGCATGCAGGCCCCCCACTGGGGCTTTCGGTGAAGCTCCCGAAGCGCTGTAGTAGGTGGGGGGGGGCTCATGCGGGCACCCCCACTGGGGCCTCGGATGGAGCTCCCTATGAGGCCACGAAGCGTGTGAGGCGGGAGGGGGAGACGCATGCAGGCGGTGCCAGTAGGGCCTTCGGTGGAGCTGCCTATGGGGCCGCGAAGCGCTGTACTGGGTGTGCGTAAGTGAGGGGGTGACGGGAGTAGGGTGGAGGAAGGGAAGGGGAGAGAGGATGAACGCGGGGACCGTCTCTTCAAAACGAGGACCCTACACGGCAAAATGGTTGGGAACAAAAGCGGCGCCGTAACCCGCAGCACAAGACGGTATAACTGAACATGAATTAGCGATCCATGGATTTGGCGCGCGGTCGCCAAATCCCTGGATCGAATAACTGTCCGCCCGCAATGGTCGACAATAGTAACGTACCGCTCCGCTTAACCCCCACGAGTCATGTTGACGATTGGCGGTGGTAGCCCATATCTGTCCAAAGCCGTGCACGTGCTGTCGGGCTTCAGGAGGTCGAAAGCGTTGGCCTAATCAACATCAAATCGCCTGGCGTGCCACGCTTTGGGCGGAAAACGAAGTGAGACTCCCGCGTTCTCCGCTCGCACCCACCGTCTAAGAGTTTCTGGTGTAGCATCGACGCACAGACCCCGCCTTCTTGTGGTGGCTCCACGTTTCCTAAAATTTGGAAGTATGGGAATCCTTGAATCACCTCAACATGATCTTGGTGAAGAAACCAACCATATGCAATTGTGAATACTGCGCTCCCTCTGGGGCCACGAAGCGTTGTGTTGAGCGACGGGACCGCATGCGAACTGCGCCACTGGGACCTTCGGAAAGCTCCCCCTGGGGCCACGAACTACTGTACTGGCCGGGGAAAACGCATGCGAAATCCGCCACTGGGACCTTGGATTGAGCTCCCTATGGAGCCAAGAAGCGCTGTACCGGGCTCAGGTACCGCATGCGAACTGCGGGACCTTCGGTACAACTCCCTATAGGACCACGAAACGATGTACTGGGTGGGGGGACACACGCGAGTTCCGCCACTGGGACCTTCGGTGGAGCTCCCCATGGGGCGACGAAGCGCTGCACTGGGCGGGGGAACCGCATGCGGACTGCGCCACCACTGGGACCTTCGGTTGAGCTCCCTCTGGGGCCATGAAGCGCTGCACTGGGCGGGGGAACCGCATGCGAACTGCGCCACTGGGACCTTCGGTGGAGCTCCCTCTGGGGCCACGAAACGCTGTACTGGGCGGGGCAACCGCATGCGGACTGCGCCACTTGGACCTTCGGTGGGGCTCCCTCTGGGGCCACAGAACGTTGCACTCGGTGGGAAAACCGCATGCGGACTGCGCCACTGGGACCTTCGGAAAAGCTCCCTCTGGGGCCACGAGGCGGGGGAAGCGCATGCGGACTGCGTCACTGGGACTTTCGGTGGAGCTCCCTCTGGGGCCACGAAACGCTGTGCTTGGTGGGGGAGACGCATGCGGGCTGCGCCACTGAGACCTTCGGAGGAGCACCCTATGAGGCCAGGACACGCTGCACTGGGCGGGGCAACCGCATGCGGACTGCGCCACTGGGACCTTCGGTGGAGCTCCCTCTGGGGCCACGGAACATTGCACTCGGTGGGAAAACCGCATTCGGACTGCGCCACTGGGACCTTCGGTGGAGCCCGTTCTGGGGCCACGGAACATTGCACTCGGTGGGAAAACCGCATGCGGACTGCGCCACTGGGACCTTCGGAAAAGCTCCCACTGGGGCCACGAAACGTTGTACTGGGCGGGGGAGCCGCATGCGGACTGCGCCACTGGGACCTTCGGTGGAGCTCCCTATGAGGCCACGAAACGCTGTACTGGGTGGGGGAGCCGCATGCGGACTGCGCCACTGGGACCTTCGGTGGAGCTCCCTATGAGGCCAGGACACGCTGCACTGGGTGGGGCAACCGCATGCGGACTGCGCCACTGGGACCTTCGGTGAAGCTCGCAATGGGGCCACGAAACGCTGTACTGGGTGGGGGAAACGCATGCGGACTGCGCTACTGGAATCTTCGGTGGAGCTCCCTGAGGAGACACGAAATGCTCTAGTGGGTGGGGGGGGACCGCATGCTGACTGCGCCACTGGGACCGTCGTCGTTGGAGCCCCCTCTGGGGCCACGAAACGCTGTACTGGGCGGGGGAGACGCATGCGGATTACGCAGGAGGGAGGAGGGAGGGAGGAGGACGGCGAGGAGGAAAGGAGGGACGCTGGACGTTGTTTCTTCAAAACGAGGGCCCGACAATACAAAATGGTTGGAACAAATGGCTGTGCTTCCAAGAGTCCCGTAATTCGACCCCCCCCGGGCCCCACCCCCTGGATTTCCCGAAATTCTGAACTCGATTGATGGGAAATCTACAATCATCACGAAAACAATGTTTTGCTGTGATTCCAACTATATCCCGTAACTCCGAACTACGGAAAACCCAAGGCCACACGACTGCCGGGGACCCCCGGTTTTCCGAAACCCGAGATGTGAACTACCTATACGACCACCCTTCGGGTGATAAGGAGGTGAGGGGGGAGGAGGAACCAACGTGTCACTCAATACATCTCGCGATCGATCCCACTATCGATCTCACTATCGATATCACTCGATCGATCTCACTATCGACCTCACTATCGATGTCACAATCGGTCTCACAACCGATCTCATTATCGATCTTATTCAGTCGATCTCACTATCGATATCACTATCGATCTCACATTCCATTTCACTATCGATCTCACAATCGATCGCACACTCGGTCTCACATTCGGTCTCACAATCGATCTCACTATCGATCTCACCATCGATCCCACATTCGGTCTCACTATCGATCTCACTATCGATCTCACATTCGGTCTCACTATGGAACTGACGATCGATATCACAATCAATCTCAACATCGATCTCACAATCGGTCTCACTATCGATCTTTCAATCGATCTCATAATCGGTTTCACTATTGATCTCACAATCGATATACCTATCGATCCCACTATCGATCTCACATTCGATCTCACAATCGATCTCACTTTCGGTGTCACTATCAATTTCACGATCGATCTCACTATCGATCTCACTATCGATCCAACATTCGGTCTCACATTCGGTCTCACAATCGATCTCACTATCGATCTCACTATCGATCTCACCATCGATCCCACTATCGATCCCACTATCAGACTATGGATCTCACAACATATCACACTATCGATCTCACTATCGATCTCACATTCGGTCTCACTATCGATCTCATTCGATATCACAATCGATCTCACAATCGATCTCACATTCGGTCTCACTATCGATCTCACTATCGATCTCACTATCGATCTCACTATCGATCTCACGATCGGTCTCACTATCGATCTCACGATCGATCTCACGACAGGACACCGACGGGACACCGACGGGACAACGGCGGGACACCGACGGGACAATGTGTGCCCTATCTCACTATCGATCTCACTATCTATCTCACATTCGGTCTCACTATCGATCTCATTCGATATCACAATCGATCTCACAATCGATCTCACATTCGGTCTCACTATCGATCTCACTATCGGTCTCACTATCGATCTCACGATCGGTCTCACAGTCGATCTCACTATCGATCTCACGACAACACACCGACGGGACACCGACGGGACAACGGCGAGCCACCGACGGGACAATGCGGGCCCCCGCTTGACAAGGCCGGGGGGGGGGGGGAACATTTGTGTTGGCGGACCCCCAGCGACAGCAGAGTGAATTCCTCTCGCCCGCCCACGCAGCTTCGCCTCGCCCGCACGCACGACACGAACACGAAACCGAAACCGATTTCCCGGTGGGGGGCTCTCCGTTCCACTGCGATTTAACCCCCATCACCACGAGCATTTTTTTGTGTGACGAGTACAGGCTTCCGATCCTGCGCCGGTGTTTGGCCTGCGAAGTATGCCCCCCCCCGCCTTCCCCGTCTGGGACCGCTGCTGGGCCAGCCGCGGGCCCCCCGCCAGCTCCAACCCTCTCATGTCCCCCCCGCAGCACCCCAGCCGCGCAGGGTGACTGTCGAGTCGGCACGACGCGAACCTGCCGTAGGCGCCCAGAGAAGGAATCAGACAGGGGCAGGGCTCTCTAGGGAACGCCAGGGAGCGCGAGAACCCGCGCCGCTCCTGGCGGCGCTCACCCCTGAACGCCCGCAGCGGAGTCGCCGCCGCGTCGACACGACACGAGCATGCCGTGCCTCAAGACGAAGCCAGAGAGAAGATACAGTCGGTGAGACTGAATAGAGAATCTCTCAGATCCGACCTATTTGGAGGATGCCTCGAGCGTCGCGGCTTCTCAGAGCGTTCCAGAAAGTTCTGGGAGCGTTCCCGAACGCTCTGGAACGGATTTGTCATCGTGCCAACTCCGTCCGATACCAGAAGCAAAAAGCTGCATTCATAGAATTTGTTGGCGCTCCGCGCGGGTTACTTGGATTTGCGCTGGACCCCCCTCCCTGGCGCGCGGAGCGCGCCAGGGGCGGCGCCAGAAGCGCCGCTGGGGGGGGGCCAGCGCGGATCCGAGAAATCCGCGCCTGTCCTGTCCTGTCCTGCCCTGCCCTGTCCTGTCCTGTTATGTTCCTGTCCTGTCCTGTCCTGTCCTGTCCTGTCCTTTTCCTGTTCCTGTTCCTGTCCTGTCCTGTCCTGTCCTGTCCGTCCCGTCCCGTCCCCTGGCCCGTCCCCTGTCCCGTCCCGTCCTGTCCTGCCAACTCCTCCTCTTCCTCCTCCTCCTCTCCTCTCCTCTCTTGCTCCTCCCTCCTCCGCCTCCTCCCTCCTCCTCCCTCCTCCCTTTCCTCCTCCCTT